TGGCTTACAAACTTGTGATTTGGGGGGCGGTGTTTGTAACTGGAGCTGTAATAGCATGACCTTATTTTTTGCAGGTTCAGAGTTCTTATCTCATCTAGGTAACACTAATCTCTAGTCTTTAAATACAGCCTAAATGATCACAGTGATCTTTGTGCTGTCAGCTGTATTTTGAATACTTGGATTTCAATATCAACGTGGAAGTTGAAGTTTAATCTGGTTTTAAAAGCTATTTTTAAATATAACCAATCATTTTATCAAGCCTTCTAACACGAAAAACTGTTTCCTTCTAGGAATTTTGGGGAAGATACAGATAAACAGGGAAGTGGTTTAATTTTGTTGTTCAGTTACAGTGTTAAGTGTATGAGACAAAATTAAACTTTGCAGTAAGTAACTGTTAATTTTAGAAATTTTTGGTAGTGTTTGTCAGTAGAGGGTACAGATAGTTCTCTTTAGCTCATAGCAATTACATGATGGAAGAGTTTTCTTTAAATATTTCCATGTTTCGGGGTTGAAAAACATTTAGGCTGTGAAAGTTGCAAAAATTTTAAATTGCACACAATTGTTTGACTTACTGTACTTTTTATAACAGATTGTCTATTTTTTGTCATTTATAAAGCTACTTTAAAAGTGGCAGAGAGAAGACCACTGGTTAAGTATTTTCATTTTAACTCTCTGATCTTTAATTTTGGGAAGGGTCTATTTTGCAGGTTATCCCTAGGCATAATTGTATTTCATTAAATTTAACACAAAGCCTTATCAAAAAGGTTGTCTTAAATGGCTCTTAATGTTATGGTTTGATTACATTTTGTTTAACTTCAGGTTGTGGCACATACTGGGCCGGGGGGCAGGGACACAGACCCCAACAAATTAAGCCTCATCTAACCTTGCCCATTTAGAATAATACAAATCAGTAGCAAGATCTTAATTAGTTTCTATGTGCCTTGCTTCTAAGAGCAAGATTTTGGAACCATGAATAATTTGTGCGAAGGTTATTTAAAACCACAAGATGGTTTTGTTCCCATTCCTGCCCCCAAATAAATTCCTCCCCTCCCCAAATAAAACACCACCACCGCTAAACTCGGTAGCGACGAGTGACTTACCAGAGCTCTGGAAAATGCCCTATGAAAAAAAAGACAGTTTGGTAAAAGTCTTCTGTTTCTATTCACTTGAAAAAATACTGAATCACATCTTATTAGGTCAGAGGCTTTCAAAGAAGCCAAGAGTGCTCAGGTCCCACTTCTTATTCCATTGGAGGTGGAGCGGATCCCTCATGAAAAATCTTGATGCTCCAGTGTGTGGCTGTACTTTTCCAGTGGCTTAAAAACATTCTGATGGATGACAAATAAAGCAAAATTCATTTCAGTTGGCTTTTATCCCCTCTAACTGTACTTTTGACACGTTGAACTTGTATCCCCCTTTTGTCTCCCACATGATGTGTAATTATTTCTGTAAAGTATTACCTTTTAAAACAAATTTTACAATTTTTTTTAATAAGATAGTAGGAATAGTTCAGAAAATACATTTGAATGCTGTTTGGACCTGTGGCGACAGATGCTCTGGAGGTTTTGTTTGAGGAAGGGAGAAATTCTCTCCTATCCCTTACCCTGTTGTGTCCCACCAGACTGTGAGGACAAAAACTTGTTCTTTTCTAGCATCCCTTAATATACTGACTGTGTGCTTTTGAAAATGCCTACACAGAGGCTGTATAGCAGATAATTTGCAAAAAAAAAAAGTCAATAATCTAACTCTTCAAGTTAGGAAGGAGTATGATTGGAAAGAGAATCATCTATGGCATATCCTAAGGAGAACCATCTTCTAGCAACCTGTCATGAAGATTCAGCCATAAAACAAATTCAGGTTTTGTTGTTTGGGTGTTGGTTGGTAGTTTTTCTGGTGTGTGGGTTTTTTTGTTTGTTTGGTTTTTTTTAAATCTTGAGTCTAAAGAGTGATGAGAATATGTACCATAAGTGGTGTAATTGATATTACTCTAGCGATGTGTGAGAACAGAAATGGAATAATCCTTGGGTTTTATGTAATCAACGATGAGTAAACTTCAGAATTTGGTGAAACATCTGATCTTACAATGTTGGAAGGAGAATGGCGCCTGATAGGGTTGGATGAGCTCTTTAGTTGGCAATTGATGAAGATTTTTCTAGAACCTTGCTTTGCTTAAATATTTCTTCTGAAATTTAGTAATCCCAGTTTTTCTCTCGCCATTATTATAAATATTTTGGTGTTAGAAGCTCTTTCATTCAAAGTGAACATGAAGAATGGTATTGGTGTAGAAAACCTATTGGTGTTTTTTTACTTCAGCATAATCACCTTGGTCAAAGTATGAAGATTCTTTCAACAAGTAACGTATAGCACATCACCTCAGGCAGTTAAAATCTTACCAGCTGAGCACTAGCAGACTTCAGTATGTAAGAGAAGAAGTAAATGACACTTTCTCATTTCTTCGTATTGTAAAAGTAAAAATGTGTGTCTGAATTTGGTTTTGATAGGCTTTGGGATATGTACGTGCTGACTAAGTATCTTCAGGGGGAGCTTCAGATGACCATCTGAACTCTTCTCCCCGCTGTCTTCCTTCTAGCCAAACAGTCTAACATTTTTCTGAGACAGAAGCTTGTTTGCAGCCTCAGTGCTTCTTTGAGAAATCCATCATTCAGGCATGGACTGACACATTCACTGTGCGGTAGGTCGTAGACTTTGATAGGAACTCTTGGAACATTGCTAATAAACTGCAAAATCCTTGTTGCAGATAACAAATGGGTTGAGTGTCTAGCATGTGTCGGACTTTGCTTGGTCGATGGTATCATTAGACAGGATATTCAAGCAGAAAAAGTCATTTTGAAACAGAGGTTCAGTAATGAAATAAAAGTTCTAGAAGTAAGCCAGCAAAGTTTATGTATTTTAATTGTTCCTCCGGTAGTTCAGCCAGCTTTGTAAAACAGCCAGTTAGCTTCTACTTGTCCAGAAGGGTTAGTTCAGTTGCACCAACTGCTAGAGGTGACAGCCACTGTCTCTTAGTGTAGCCACTCAGGGCAGCTTGTCCTTCATTAATGAAAACCAGGCGGGTTTCCTTCTGTTGAGACATCCCTGGTTCTCTGTGTGGTAGAAAGTTATGTATGCTAGGAAGTTAAGTCTTTCCTTTCCCCAGGCATCTTTGAAGTGTCATTTTAATTTCTATTGTGTGGCGCTTTTAGATTATATTTCTAGATTTAAGCTAGCTTCTCTTTGACAAAATGCGAAGAAGACTTTAGAAATTATACATAATGAAAAATAATACATCGTAGAGGCCTTTCAGTGTTGGTGTCTCGTAGTACTGTCAGCTTTGTTTTATGTAAGATACTTAAGAAAACTTGATTGGAGAATTGGGAGACTGACAGTTCCTCTTCTCTGTGTCCTCTTCCTCATCTAAATACCCAGTTCATGGTGAAGTTACACTTTGCTGTTGGTTCAGCCCTCTCATGCACCAGGCCTCGTGGCTGGCTGACATTGTGCTGGGCTGATTCAATTTGCTAAAGCAGCAAAAGTGACTTGAGAAAATGGCAAGTAGCTTTCTGCAAGCAGTGTCAAATGAAGACAAGAGTTGGGTTAAAAGATGATCGGAGCAAGGGGAAATGACACATCAGAGTTGGTGAGTAGGGCTGTTCTGTATACATATTGAGTAAGAAAGGAAAAATGACAAAATTATTTTTAATAACCTCCATCTTTAAAAACAACTTGCTTCTCTTTTTCAGAGTGGTTCTGAGGATCTCGGTGCATGCATGTTGTCACAGGATTTTGTTCTTTTCCCTTGCTTTTTAAATATCCTCATGTCGCATTATTCTCTAGGGGCCCTAGCTTAAACATTTCTGGGCAGAATGGCAGGCTGCTGCCTGTTGCAGTGCTGCTCTAGACAGCACCTTTGCTCATCCTCCATTTTACTGGTACAGAACTGCTGGGTTTTTGTATGGATGTACGAGGCTTGCATATGAGAGAGCAGGAGTCTGGTGGTCAAGTTTTTATTGTCATCATTCGCTTAAGCGGCAAACTCTTCTGTTGCACAGGTAGCAGAAGGCAAAGCTCCCATACTTACGGAGAGCACGTCACAAACTGGTAGAGCTGGAACCTGCATCTGTGGAACCAGATTCAAAGGAATAGGTGATAAAACTCCCGTCTCTCTCCCAGGCTTGCTGGTAACAGTGAGGTGGGAACTAGGTAGGAGGTTCAGACTGATAACAACGGTCTGTAAAATCCAGTTACATCCCAAGTTTAAGAAAACAATTTGGAAAGACTATTCGCAGCATAATCTTACTAGTGTCTGATTTGTGGTACTCAAACTTTAATCGCAAGTTGTCCTAGAAGCTTACTCTGAGCAGGTAGGCATGAAACTTTATGCAAAAACTCTGAAAAAATTCAGGTCCAAGCAGAGAATAGAGAGCACTCATGGATCTACAGCTGGTGAGGGAAGAATGTAGGAGAGGTCTTTAAAGTCACGAACCTCATTTGATAATGCCTGAATGTACTGAATTCAAAACACTAAACACAGCATCAATAATCGTATTTACAGAAAATAGCTGGTCTGGTGACTTTTACATATGGGCTAAACAGCAGTTACACCCAGGATCCCCATCTCCCCAGTCTGAGAGGAACCCCATCTTGTGAGCATCTTCCAGTTTCCAGGGGAGCATTATAAGAACCAGGCTACTTCTCAGGAGCTTGTCGTGTTGTTACCGTTACGAATATGAGTGTCTCTAAGCCAGATGGGCAAGCCGGTGGAACCAGGGCTGTCAGGAGTGCAGAGCAGTTCAAGTGTCATTGAATTGACAAAAGCCATAAACCAGGGAAATCTTCCAGACAGCAGGGCACGCTTCCGAGAGAAAAGGTCTGGCTCTCTGACAAGTCAGGATGAGGTTGTGGTACTTACAGTTCTGCTGCTAACCAAGTCTTTGGGGCACCTACCTAAACTCATCAGCCTTCTGTTACACTCTAGTGTGAAGTAAGCCTCAGGCTTTTCTTAGGCTTTGTTCAGACACCGTGTTGCTTTTAACCTTCCCTGAAACTACATGAGGACTTCTATATGAAAATCCAAGCACAGGCAGCAAAAGTGAGAGATAGATTAGTCTCCAGTAGCAGTGTTCTGAAATTATGAATAAAACATGACTAGAAGTCCAGATCAGTTCAGAAGCATGGAGGAATCTCGCCTTAGGTGTTATGTGAAACCTGTCATCTTTCTATTTCTTCCCAGCCATGGTCTTCTCCAGCTCAGCCTGAAACGTGCCTCCCTTTCAGAGAAGAGAGAAGCTGATGTTCCAAGGCCCAGGCTGCTATTTCCAGCATCCTGTTCATTTAGCTGCTTCCAGTTAACTATGATGTTTAAGTTGCTTTCTGCTTAAACAAAGCAGGATTTTTAAACCCTCTTTTCCCCGAGGTGATGGCTTCTGCTGAGGGTGTCTAGGTTAATGCAGTGACTTACTGCCAGCAGAAAAGCAGAGGCCTAAATCTGCATTGTTTTTCTTTTCTGTCCACCTTCCCTCTAGTGAGGCTGTTCATTCTTCTCCTGGGAGCATAATGTTCCTTTCTTATTTACCTTCGCCAGCACACCTTTCTAGTCAACTCAGCAAAATCTCCACCCCACCCCCCAGTCCCCGGAAAGTGTTTGCTTGTTGCTGGAGTAGTTTTCTGGAATTTTAGGAACTAAAAGGTCTTATGGAAAAGTCTGGTAAGTTCTGGAGGAAGGACAAGATAATGGCAGTGGAAGCAGAGAGACCGATAAGGTGCTGCTGAGACCTCTGGCTCTCCCACTCTTCATATTCTTTTTCCAAGCAGATTCGGAACATTACACGCAGAAAGCGCATTGCCTCTTTTTTTAGACTAGTCTTCAGCCAGCTTGGCACATTGGAACAGCTTATTTGTACAAGAAAGGAGGCAGAGCCCTGCTGGGATTGATGTGGGCTGCCGTAGATTTGCAGCCGCAGAGAGGCTGAGGCAAATGGAAGTGAATGACTGTAACATTCCCTGGTCAGATATCTTCAGCCCATTGTGGAATGTGACTGCTCTGAGGCTGACAAGGTAATTGAAGCCTGGGCCCCCTCTTCCAAACTGCTGAGCTTTTACACAAAAAGCTTTTACGTGGAATCTCCAGTAGCTGCCTTCTACTGGAGAGTGAGCTCTTCTCTAGTATGTGCGGTGCTTCAGGAAAAAAACCAGCTTTGGTAATCGAAGTGGATGGCCTCAGGCCGGGGGAGGATGGACTGCATGGAGGTATCAAGTCTAGAAATTTAACCTCTGTAGGCAGGAACGACTTCTGTTTGTGCTCCAAGTTCCCCACTGATTTGCTTAGGGCAACTCTGCTCCATGGTTAGGAGTCCCGTATTTCTCCACTGACTGTACAGGGAACTTGGGTTCGTGGTGTCACCAATCTTGGTATCTCTGCATAAATAATACTAGAGTCAAAATAACAGTGGAGGAGAAGAAACAAAGGCAGTTTGAATGTTACATCCACCTTAACTGTAGAACATTACTGTTAAGTATATTCAAGGTGAAGGTAGGTATCAGTCTCTTGTTCAATTTGGTTTTCAAGGAAGTTTTTCTTCTAAGGAAGGTATCTCAGAAAAGCATAGGATTCCCTGTATTGTCTCTAAAACACCAGTTGTGCTGCTCCTGATAGGATGGGATAAAGCACTCCTGAGAGTGCTGCGTAGACAAGTTGAGTCACTAGTACTATTTGGCCACTGGTTTTACCAAATTATCTGTTGACTGTGTTGATTACCTGTAGGTAGTCATTGTCCTGGGGGGAAAAAAAAAAGCAAACAATTTTTCTTCTCATTTGAAAAGGCTATTCTCCTGTCAATCTTAGTGATACAGCTTTTTATGTACTCATTGACTACTGCAGAAGAAACACCTTGAACAGGCAAGACATGAGAATTCTCCCATAACTTTTTTTTCTTTGGCAATTGTGAAGCTTTGGTGGTGTTCTGGGCTGCCAGGAGAATTTATTGCTGAATGAATTCCTTACTTGTGACAAGAGAAACACCTGTTTCTGCCTGAGCAGCAGCACTCTTCCATCAAAGACAACATCTGGCAGCGTGAGCCCTTAAACTTCTGTTTAGGACTTCCCTTTCTGTGTAAGATACTCCAAATACAGCTTCAGAAGTTGTCTGGAGAAAGCAAGCATCGGTGTAATGGGGATTGCTGGCTATCTCAAAGAAAATACAGCGCTAGAAATACATCATCATTCTGTCCATTACCTTAATACCTGAAGAGGCTTTATTTTACTATTAAAGAAATGCATTCTCTTGGATGCTGATTTTTTAATAACTAGGAACAGAAGGTTACATATGAACATATATATAACTTTAAACTAAATGTAAACAACTTGAAATCTGCTCATTTGTTTTCTCTTCAAAGTGTCCTAAGAATTACAAGCATCAGACTAGAGGATTCAGCTTTTAAGCATCATTCTCTTTTAAATCAGGTTGGGAATTTGAAGGTAATAGCCTTAATACAAGTACTTAGCAATAATTTCTCCATCCCAGTCCACGCCAATGCACTACCTTTGTCCAGTAACTATGGAAGTGCATTTAGGGGTGCTTTGGGGGCTGAATACCTTGATAACTTGTCTTTTCTTCCTGTTCAGCTTGCTGGCCAGCTGCTTCACGTCAAATCCAGTGAAGTGGTTGATGAAGGTACTTTAAACAGAAAAAGTACATTTACTAATGATGGGTAATTAAACTGTAGAACTCACTGTTTCGGAACATGTGGAAATAAAAAATGATTTCACAGATGGACGAATTCAGGGAGAATAGTTTGTTCAGAGGTGCTTAAACTTGGTCTGGATGGAACCTCCAGATCAAATAATTCCTGACTGTTGAAAACTCCTGCCAAAAGCCTTTAGTTAAACCAACAGTTAATGTTGTCTGATGCTTTTGAAATGTTCTCCTTCAAAGGTGGAGATGAAAATTAGGCAAGCCCCTCATTTTTTCCTGCATGTGTTCTTAGACTGAACTGGCACCTTAATACCAAAATGCTTTACAACAGTTCATGAAAGATAACTACTGTTTGAACACATTCATTTTCTCATCTCTTCCCAACAGGAGAAAAGTTCTAGCCTCAGTGTTTGCACTTAGGAATTTTTATATGTATATGTCTTTGAGAAGGCAACATTAAAGCAGTATTCCTTGTGCTTGAGATTCCCTTTCAGTTCACACCTGATCTTGTGTAACTCCTGCTGA